ATGCAGTGAGGAATTGTTGGCCAAACGTTCGGCAGATTGGTCTACTCGGGAGCATAAGTGGGGTAGCAACCCATGGTGGAGCGTACATGAGAAGCTGGAAGCTGGTGTACGCTCCATCCCGGCGTGCGGGTAGGATCTTAGGCTATGCAAGTCGTCCCTGAACTTGTTGTGGTGAAAATGACCTCCCAGGAGGAAAGTAGCCTGTACCGCGGGACTTCGGAGATGAATGAATTGGGTGGTCGGAGGCGTCTGGGTGTGTACTAAGCAGAGCGCCCGGCACAAGACTGGGGTACTTGTGCCAGGAGGTGTGAACTTGGATCTAGACTACGAGCCTATGTTGGAGGCGCTATTTAGCGTCGGTGAGCCGGCAAAAGAACTGAAAGGAACCACAACCCCCGCCGGACACTCGGATTGGGAAGGCCGAGTATTCCGTATACTTTCCTGAAAAAACACGAAAAACAAGTGGCCACGGTCCAGTTGCCGTAGAGATCATGAGGATGGTGAAGAAGCTTGGAGGATGGAAGCAGAAACTGTTGAAGGGAAACAAGTTGGAGCTGCTGCTGTTTGGGAGTCCAAACGACACGACAAGGATAGAGTTCAAGAACGGTTGTGACAGGGAGGGAATGCACTGCCTAGCAAGGGAACAAGTAGGCAGAGAACATGAACACTTCCGGGTGAAATTGACCAAGGGAGACAGCCAAGAGTGCTTGGGGGTTGATATCGAGAAGCTGTCGAACTACGTAAGGAAGTTTGGATGGAGGGTTTGCATCGCGAACATGATAGAAACAGAGAAGGTAAGGAGACAAGAGGCGAGGGCGACGGAGGCGAAGAAAGGACCGAGCGGGGGAGACGAGCAGGCAAGTCAGAAGCACGCCGAGAAGAAGCGGAAGGCGAACGATAGGGAGCGCAAAATCTCCAAGAGAGAAAAGCACAAGCTCAGAGTCGGGTCGTGGAACGTGTGCGGGTTCGCAAGGAGTGAGCGCAAGCGGTTGGAAATAGTGGACCAAGTGGAACAAAGCGATCTAGATGTAGTGGGGCTCCAACAGACGTGGGAATTGAAGGATGGTGGCGTGGTAAGCAAGCAAACTAGGGGAAATACCGTTGGGTAGGGAAGGCAAGAAAGGGCTTAGACCCGAAGAAAAGGGGGGAGGGGGGAGTCGGATTCCTGGTCAAGGAACACTTGTTTGACGTGGTAGAAGTAGTGGTGAAAAATGAGTTCGAGGAAAGCCTATGGCTCAAGATACCTGGAGAGCGGGGTGAGAAATATTTGTTTCTAGGGAACGTATACGTCCCACCGTCGTCGAAGAAAGTCGCAAGCAAGGCGCAGGAGAACTTTGGACAAATTGGGGAGGATGTCCAAAGGTTCAGTAGGAAGGGAGAAATTATCATGGTGGGCGATTCCAACTCCAGAGCAGGGAAAGCTTCCAGTAGAGGACAAGCGATCGGGCAGCACGGAGAAGACAAAGTGAATGACAACGGAGTGA